TCACCTTGACTTAATACTGCTTCTATCGCGAATTCTGACGCATCGGTGGTTAAGATAAAAAATTTGATGTAATCTGTGTATTGGAAAATCGGTTCCTTGCAAAGCAATGTCCTCAACACTTTGTACTCTCAATTATTGAGATGTCGATTACCGATGTCGAGTCACAATCGACAAAGGAGTGCAAAGGGTTGATATGTCAAATGCGTGTTGTTCCATTTTCCATTCGAATTTCGTATCGTTTTTAAATAGATTCGTTAATGGTTTCGCGATTTATGGGAAATCCTTAATTAAATGATAATATCTCGTGAGGCCTAGAAATTGATTAATATTTTTCAGGTTTTGCGGAATTGGAAATTTTTCTACGGCCCTTCTTCCCTAGATCTGGTCTTACTCCTTCACCTATTATGTGGCCTAGATAACCGACTTCTTTCCTTAAAAATTGACATTTGCCGGGCTGGAGTAAGAGGTTTGCCCTACACAGTCGAGCTACAAGCTAGTGAATTTAATTTCATGTTCTCTGAGGGAACTGGAATACAGGACATCATCTAGGTACACGAAAAGCTCATTCCCTTGTAGTCAGTTAATACTTTGTCCATTAACCGCTGGAAAGTTGTAGATGCATTTTTAAGTACGAACGGCATACGGTCGAACTCGTAATGACCATGGGATGTTGAAAAGCCCGTTTTATTACGGTTTTTAAAATCCATACTGATTTGATGGAAACCAGAGGCTAAGTCGAAGACCGAGAAATACTTGACGCTTTCCAGCTAATTTATGATTTCGGTGATATTTTGAAGGGAGTAAGCATCTCTGATGGTTTACTCATTTAGTTTCCGATAATGTATAACCATTCTCTAGCGCTTGTTGCTCTGTGGTCAGGATTCTTTGGAACGATCCAAAGTGGAGAATTATATGGGGACGATGGAGTTTTAATTATTCCTAGGTTGATAAATTCTTCGACTTGGTGTTAAATTTCTTCCGTATTGATTGGCGGATAAAGATCTTGCTTGGTATGAATTGGCACATCGTCCATAGTAGGAATTGTATGATTTAGAAAGTTTATTGTTCCCAGAGGTTTTCCTGGGGTGTAGAATAGGTCTAAGTTTGCCGTTATCAAACCTTCGACGTTAAATCTTTCTTCCTCGTTGACGTGATCTAGACGTAGCGTCTCAAAAATGTGCTGTTCATCGGTTTTCGATGGTCGTGACACATTATTTGAGGCGGTGAAGACGGAACGGTCTTTTGCATGCCTTAAGATTGGATTTTTCCCATTCGCTTCGATAGTTTGATGAATTTAGCGAACTTAGTGGATTCAGTGGATCTAGTCGATTTAGGACATTTTGTCGATTTAGTAGATTCAGTGGATTCCGTGGAAGTAGTAAGATTTGCGGGTTCTTGCAGGCGACCAAATTTGATCGACTCAGATACTTACGGAATTGAATATTCTCCCAACTCTAAGGTAGGGATCGTGATGGTAATCGGATTGTCGGACATGTTTGTCGCCATTATGTAGGCTCGTTCGTTCCGATTTTATGCTAGGGCTCGCCCTAGGTATACACTCGGTCCTGAGTTAAGCAACGGGACGTATCCTTCGTCCACTTCCGGGTTGCTAACGTTGACCCAAATTTGCGACATCATTTGATGTGGTAAAGTAATGGTACGGTCGTTTTCAAACAGAACATGACCTCGTTTGATGTTTACGGTCCGACTGCCATAGTAAATACTTGCTTCTTCTAGTTCGAAAACGGATCCGAGAATTCCGTCTTGATCGAACAGGAATTCATCCGAGACGACTTGGAAAGGGATTAATTAATCGTTAATTTTAATGTAAGTATCGCCTAGCGTTAGCAAAACTTTCGAGATTCTGTTTATGCGATAATATATCGTGTTATCGATTCTGCTATCTTCACGAATGCATTTGGATTTTATGATGTTGATTTCATCGCCCGTATCGAGCATAAAAATTATTCGGAGATCGAGTTCTGCTGAATTCATTGTGACTACCGGCAGTCTTAGAATTGCTCATGCTTCGATCATGGTTACTCTAGGAATTATTCGATGGTTTCGGTGATTATCGGACGCACGTGATGATAATTCGGTTCCCGATTGCCGTCCGTGTGCCGGAAACCTTTCGCATTCCCCGACGGGTTTCTGGATCCTTGTTCTTCACGAATTCTATTATTTCGCATTCGCTTTCGACATTCTTCAATCGTGTGACCTTCATTTTTACTATTACGTAGACACCCTCCGTACCCTAACATAAGAAAAACCCATTTTCCGATCACCGGAGCTAGCCATGGAAATCCGAATACGGAAACGCGATTAGGTAACTCTTGCGAAAGGATCCAACACTAAATCACCTGACACAATAAGTTCATCGGCCAAGACTCCAAAAGTCATCGATCGACCCGGGGCGAACAACCTGATGACTACGCAACGCATCAGCACGACTCAGAAACGCCACCCTCACCTGAGCCCTAGGAAACTCCCACCAATTGGAACATCCTGCTAATAAAACCAGCAGTCAAATCGAGACGACGTACATTTAGTCAGTGTCAGTTCTTACGCTACGTCAGTCTTCAGTTAAGTATCATCGAAACTTCGAGTGGAGCTCCTGGTCCCCGGTACTCCATTCCTAGCGAGTCAGAGACCGAGACCACCGGACTCCCCGCCAATGACCACCATCCTGCGAGCTGCAGTAGCGCCATCCGGTACTCCAGCGATCCAGCCACCGAGTCAGGACTAGACGGCGGCACTGCGACTTCCATTGGACGGGAGGCTTCTAGGAGACCTCCAACCCTAGGGCACGTCATCCGACTGGGTCGATCAAAAGAGACTGTCACCGATTACGGCCGCTGAACAAGCCAGGTAGAGGATCCTTCGCAAGCTCGACTTATCCTCATTTTCATTCTAGTCTATTTATTAACCCTTCATCTTCGATCAAACCGGAATTCTAATCATCATGGCGACTTCCATGCCTTGCTCCGGTTAACCGGATAGATTAATAACCCCTTAACTTCCTCCAAACAGCTGAGCTCAAATCTCAGCATCGCGAGACAGAACCACGCATAGACCGCCATTAAGACAGTAAGGAATTCCCGCATCAGCACTCCGGCGTCCAATAGCCTACCGCCGCTAAGGCGTGCTATCGCGATACCCGAACCGCCGCGACGCGGAAGTATACTAATCTAGAGAAATTCGTTCAAGACACCTCGGGTGCCCTCCCAGCTGATTGTAGTTCAGACCTCACGGATGAATAAATACTAACCATCTTAATACACTAGCCACATTGCCATTCGTTCGCACCCATTTTTATTCCTCACTCCCCTAGATCCCACCAGAGGAATTGATCTAGCCGCTCGGATCAATCTCCTCACGAACTTAAAATAATCATTACGCGCAAGATTTGGGTAATCTCAATCCGAATTACCCCGGCCTCGCATCCACTCGGCCGCCCCGTAACATTACAGTATTTACATTGTTTAGTAGGCTCCGACATTTGTTTAAGTCGCGACATACTCGATTGCTGGCGGTGTTTAAGAAAGCATTCTAATTCTAGATGGCCGATTTTGCGGCAAAAGGTACACTGTTTCGGCGAATTTGGGGATGGATTAGGTATTAGATTATCGCGACGGGGTTTTGTCCTGTATTCCGTCTGTCTATGGTTTAGGTATGTCTAGGTTATGGTTAGGTATGTCTGGGTTTATGATAGAAGGAAGTTATGAAGAAGCACTGTTTGCCTTCTACCTGCGTGAGCCTGGCGCTTTGATAAGAATGGGGCATCTCGTGCGGGAAATATTCAGAAGGTCCGAATAATCTGTCCTTTTCTTCGGCTTCTCTTGTAGCGTCGATCGCAAGTTTTGTGACGGCAAATAACGGGTATTGACCCTTTTGCGTACGGGATTGTATTTCCGGGCGAAGACCGCGTATGAAGAACATGGCTTCTTGATTTAATTGCTCCGCGAAAACTAATCTTTCTGCGGAATTACTTCCGTTCGTATGCTGGCTTAGAAAATGTTCTTAGACCCGGTGGTGGGGTTTGGAAAAATGTTCTTAGACTCGGTGATAGGGTTTGGCAAAAAGGCCTTAGAGTGAGAAAAGTTAATATTTTTGGCTTCTCGGAAAAGTCATCGAGGTCGCCATTACTGCCAAAAATTATGGGGCTGCACGTGCAGGGTGGCATCGGATATCGTGAGATCCCTCTTTTCAGATTTTCTATTGCCCGAGCATAAGTTGAAATTTAAAATTATTATGGCCTCGTTGTCTTAATTTATATTTCCTAACTTAGTAAAATCTTATTTGACAGTAGGGTCGGCCGGTCGCAGGAACTAAGACAGGATGACCCTCGGTTATCTGAACCTAAGTAAATAATTATCCGTTTAAAGTCCAACATTTTTATGACTTTTCCCGAAAACCTTGGTCTCCCAATCTTAATATGATATTTGAGCCGATGCAAGTGCAGGAAACAGATGCACGTGGAGGGAGCGTTACGTGGGACGTAACCGCAGACATTTATATTGAAAAAAAATATTACCGATCCTGACCACCATAACGACAATTAGGCGATCTATTGAGTAACGTAACTCAGAAATTCGACTTAATTTTTTGATAGGCAAATTGATTGATCATCTATAAGCTCATAAGATATATGTCAACTGCAGACGATATTTCTATCAGTAAACATATTCGTTCTACATTACGGCCATTTATATTTGTTTTATTTAAAGTACTCATAAACCGTTTTTGGAAGTTATTCAGTGTATTCTGCATGTTTGTGAGATTTGTGTAGTGAACAAATATATTGTTCAAGAATTCAATTCGTTCTATATTACGGCTATTTATATTTATTTTATTTAAAGTACTCATAAACCGTTTTTGGAAGTTATTCAGTGTATTCTGCATGTTTCTGAGATTTGTGTGGTGAACAAATATATTGTTCAAGATTACGATTCTTAAAATCGGAAAGGTCCCTCTGCTCAGAGGATTCATTAAATATTTACCAGTGGATACTTGTGTCAAGTAATTAATTTGTTCACTCAATTTCGATTCCACATGTCCCAAAGTCTTCAAAAATTGGTGCGTTTGTCCTTCTGCTTGTTTCAAGCTTGACTTCTCTTTGCTCAATTCCAGAAAAACTTGACCTGTAACAATAGATAAACACATCCTTATCAATTAATCTATAAAATTAGATTTTAATTGAATAAAATATAATACATTTACGTTATATTACAGAACACGATATTAGTACATTGTATACCAACGAGGTAAAGTGGGTCTTTTAACGTCCGAGGTAACCTTGCGATACGAGTCGAAGACGTTGTACCTTTGAATATTAATTTAGAGTCGTTGTAGTATTTTGCGAGAAGCGTGAGTCCTCGATTTTTGCATCATTTTATTTTGAGAATTAATTTCGAGTCGTTATAAGATTGTACCTGTTAATCTCGATTTAGCATTTCGTAATCATTGTGGCATCAACTTGGCTGTGAATAATTTTTCCTGTACTTTGTGGGACAAGATGTCTTTATTTCTGATATCTCTGATTTTTCTTGCAACCTGTCTTGATTGTCTAGTGATATTTGCGCGAAATGTAAGGTTTTTCTGTACCTAGTAAGAGTAATTACCTTTAATTTGTGAGATCTTAAATTTTCATGCGGGTGGTCCTGATTACATGTATCTTTTCCCTGTAACTTTATATAAAATTGTAATTTGCACGGGCTATTCACGATACGATACATGTTATTTTACTGATCAAATGTAAAGCGAACCCGCTACGCAAGGAAGTAATTCCGAAATTTTTCCGAACGGATACGCCTAGTATTTTCGATATTTTTCCGATCGAATTTGCTAAATAAATTCAATATTTTTTAAGGATGAATTAGGAGAGTCATTTTTCGAAGATTTTTCGGAAGAAATGAGACAAGTCGCATCGAATGTTTAATTCGAACCCCATTTGAGAGTGTCGTTAGAGGCCTCATATTTTCGGAAGAGACTTTTTCAAGATAACATTGTCGTAATTATGATTGTAATTTTAGTGAGAGAACAATCTTAAGGATGAGAGAGCGAGTTTGAGTTGATATTTCTATCGAACCCGTTGTAATTTCAGTTCGAACCTACTGGTCGAAAGATTCTCCTCGGACAGGTGCGTCAAGCTAGCACGTCACTATTGCAATTCACGATTTCTGAATAGAGGAAATAAGTGCTAAATATGTGCTAATTTTGTGTCGAATTAATTGATTTTGTACCCCACTATTTTTCAAAAATTTGAAATTTCACTGTGGCCGTGTTAGCTTGACATCAAGCCAACACGTTCCCCTCTCAAACAATACAGAAAGTTAAAAACAAGTACACCAAATTGAAAGGAAAATTGTGCTAATTTTGTGCCGTAATAGTTTTCTTTCTTTACGCTGACCATTTTTTTCAAAAACTCGATTTTCTTTCCGAGCGTGCTAGCTCGGCGTCTAGCTAGCACGTTCCCTTCTTAAACATTATAGAAAATTAAAAAAATGTACACCAAATTGAAGGGGAAATTATGTACTAATTTTGAGATAGAGAGAGATAGAGAGAGATAGAGAGATAGAGAGAGAGAGGTAGAGAGAAAGAGAGCCGTCTTCGTGGAAATTTAAGGTATTGGCCATACGGCCTTGATTACGATTTATAGATTTTGATAAGGCGTATGGTCCCTGTCAAATAGGGTCGCGCCATTTGTAAATTTCGAATCATTGACCGGTAGCAACGAGGAGGAAGCGATCGCGGCGTATAAGTAACGTCGTTTAGGCCTCGAATCCGTGACCCCGAGTATTGTGAATCGCGAGTTAGATTCGAGCAATTTAGCGTCGCCCGGTGGCGACTTGTGCTCATTCCGCGTGTGTTAGAGACCGGGGGTCGAACTTTGTGGCGGAAACCACGTCGCAATATATATATATATATTCCACTCACCCTTCATCCCAATAACACAGCCTAGCTGTCGCCCGCAGCCGGCCCCCGTCCCCCCAAGGGCTACTCTGTCCGCCCCCAAAACGGGACTTAACCTTTTTTTAAAAGGCTTTTAGTCTATTTTCTGCAGGCACGCGTCCACAAAGGGTTAAATGACAATTAATCGTACATAATTATAAATCAGAACAAGTAGTAACACTTTCAAGCTCGCATATAAATTGAAACGTGGCGGATCGTGGAGCCCACTCCACGTTTCAAAGCGGTGCCCTTTCCGGGCCGAAGGCCTCCACGTGGCGGAAATACCGTGTCGACAAGGAGCCTTCGTTCAGGCCGCCATATTAGGGAACACGGACCCTGCCGGACCCTTAAGGGCGTTGCGGAGGTGACCGCGCCGACCGCGACGTGTCCACAAGATCAGGGCTTGGGGACGCGAAGAGGAAAACCCGGAACACCGGCCGCGAGGACTTTGGCGAGTTGTCATCGCGATTCGACACCTTAGTCTGCGTCGAGGCGGAACTTAAGTTTCGGCCAGCCGTTGAACGTTCAATTGAGCTTGAACGAAACCTGTTGGAAAAAGCCCATTTCGGTCTCGCGAGCAGTGGCAATTCGGGTTCGCGAAACGTCCCTGAAGTACTGTGTGTGTGTGTGTGTGTGTGCACCGGAGGCCTGCAGGGACGGTAGCGCCGTCCACCCCAAGGCCGCCCAGACGCAGAAACGACCGGGACCGGGCGCCTGAGGGAGGTTGCGCGACTGAAGAGAGTTGAACAATTGCTGTTACTTCACAGAGAGGAAAAATGAAGTATTGGGAGAATATGGAGAGCCAATGGGACATAGGAGAAATATATAATGAAGGAAAGAAAAGACAGGAACTTTGGGCTGGTAATTTGTTAGGAACAAGGGTCGTCGAGGAAGTACAAGATTTCGAGTTCTTAGGAAAAGAAGTGGAATATTGGTTTGGTCGATGTTCTCTCGGAAGGTGCTGTGGACTTTAAAAATTTGAATAAGACATCAGCCTTTAGCTAACAGAACGCAAAAGCGGGAGACTCTGATAACGGCCGAACAGCGGGATTTAGGCGCGTCATCCAACAGATTAAATGAAACAATTATTACTAATGGAAAATAGGGCGGACATTACATATGTTATCCTTACTCTATTTTCAACATCCAATATTTCAACAAATATTGTTTTAAATTCAGGACGTAATATCGAAGGCAATCACGAATTCATTGCTATATCAACCCTGGACCTCTGCTAGCTTTATCACTGACACAAAAAATAACATATACCATACCAGTAGATTTGAAAACAGCGAGATCGTTTATAGGAATAATATGACTTGTCTAAAATATTTATAGGAAAAGTGAGTAACGACATGGGTGTGANAATAAAAAAAAATAAATTCAACATTATGCTTCAATATGCAAAAAGAACTGAAATTTATTCACAAAGACAAATATGTAAGTCAATAAAAGTTAGCTTCTTAGATTATCTGACATTAATTTATCATTCATTATTTCACTTAGATTTTAACACTTCCACTAATTTTATTATTACTGCTAACTACATTTGAATGTAATTGTCATTTATAAGTATGTGAAACATTAAGTGATTCCTTATCGAGTATTACTTGGTGGGTCTGTTTTATTGAAAACAAATTTCTTTTATTATGTTTAGTATTCAACTCTGGATAGAATCATCTTTGAAAGTACACCATTCTCATTCCCTTCAAGCTGCATTAACATGACTCCAAAACCCTGCAATTGGATAGTACAAAGGTATATTAATTGTCAAATGTTAGTATTTTGTGACATAATAACACGCAATCAGTTTTTTTAAATATTATAATCCGCTCAATATCTATATTTTGACATTTTTAGCACAAACCCACCAAGTAGTATTTTATAAAAAATCATTTAATGTTTTACGTACTTATAAATGATGATTAATTACACTTAAATATAGTCAGCAGTAATAACATGAAACTAGTGGAGGCATTACTCTGTAAATGAGATAATGAATGATAAACTATTGCCAGATCATACAAGATGTGGTAGATCACTTGTGGTGGAAGATCACTAGCATCTAGTGATTTACATACTTGGCTTTGTAAAATGATTTCAGTACTTTTGTATACATAAGCACAATGTGGATCCTAATTTTTTATTTTCAGAAGGACAATTGCTACAGCCTTCTATTTGGCCAGGTTTTCTTTATACGGAGTTGTTTTTGCAGAGGTATTAATTTAACTGACTCTGAATGCAACACGAGAAGTAATTACCAATTCACCACCATGTAGGTCAACACTGGGCGTCTAATGGTGTCATTACTAAAACTTCGAATATAACAGCTAAGAATCATCCGATTTTTCAACAGCTTATGAAATTATTTATTGTAAAAATAGTATCTACCGGAAACTTTAACGAGATAATTTACTAACAAACAAAAATTAAGTTAGCCTATGGTATTTCAAGTTCGTAATTTCATTGGAATAACTGAAATAAATGAGACATGGTGGAAAATTAAATTTATTGGAAAACAAAAATTTGTGAAATCCCCACATCTGTGTAAAAATGTCTAGCCAAGTACAAGAATACAGAGAATGTGCATTTAAAAAAAAGAAACCATAGAAATTCTACATGATGCCTATGTATACAAAAACGAGTGAAATCATATCACAAGACCAAGTGCATAAATCGGTAGGTATCTGCTTCTTAGATGATCTGCCAATAGTTTATTAGTAGTCTCTCATTTACAAACTTCAATGCCTTCACTACTCTTATGTTATTGCTGCTAATTAAATTCAAGTATAATTGTCATTTATCATTATGAATATATTCGAATTTGGTTAGGGTCCTCTTTAACATTATAGCATTCTCATATCCCTAAAACCATAATAACTTGACTGCAAATCACTACAAATGAGTATTACAAAGAAAAATTAATTATTAAGGAAAAGTATAACCAAAAAGGAAAAAAGGACGGATTAGACTTTAATGAAATAATAACATGCAACTTCTAAAATGTTTCAATCTGCTATATGGCACTATTATGACATTTTTAATAAACCTACCAAGTAATACTCAATTAAAAATCATTTAACGCTATACCTAATCATAAATGCTAATTAATGATGCTTAAATGTAATTAGCAGGAATAACAAAATTAGTAAAGGTGTTAAAGCTTCCAAATGGAAAAATGATAATGTCATATCATATAAGAAATGGATACGTATCAACTTATACACTTGATTTTGAGATTATTTCAGTATCTTTACATACAGAGGCATTCGTTTTTACCAGATGAAAGAATATTTTACAAATAATATTAGTTAAAGAATCAATTTCTAAAAACACTAGTAATAGTACACCCAACAGTATTTATATATTCCTAGAAATCCAAGATTCTCTAATGAATATGAAAGTGAAGTAACATAAAACGGAAGTTACAGCAATTGATTTTAAAAAGTTCGATACCTTAACAGATATTCCACTCAGATGCACGACTCTATTAGTACTGGCCTGTTGTTTTCAGTTCTTCAATTCCTTGACCAATAAAAACACTTAATTTTCCAACCCAATTACAACAACACTTCCTGACATTTTTACTTTACAATAGAACATAACCTACCTGCACTTTGTAAACAACCGGTTATTTCTTTTTCAATATTTTCCAAGGTTTGAATTCTTTCCATTGGAGGAGTCATTTCAATTTAATACGATTTGCACTATATACTTGGCTTGATTATCTAATTATAATTAACAATAAATGTTTCTTTCACGAATATTACACCAATAAATTTAAACACGGCATAGCATGCATGGAATGGTACACTGGACTCCATCGATGGCTTGCACCTGGTTCGCACTGCCCTCTCCGGCCGCGCAGAGTACTAGCGGCGGGAGCAGCGCGGAATTCGAATCGCTCGAGGGGCAGAAAGGATTTCCTAAAGAAAATAAATATTTATAAACAAAAACAATTAA